AGTCATATTGAAAGAAAGAATATTGAACGTCGTATGATTACTCAGCGCTTCACAATTTAATTTAAAGTTATAAACCTTTTAAAAATGAATGATCAGGAACCTAAAATACGCGCAAATATTAATATTAACAAATTATAACTTTATAAAGCTTAAAGTATGAATTAAAATGATTAGAAATATTAGGAACGGTACACAATATAAAACTTAGTAACTTTTTTTAAGTTTATAATATTCGACATATTTTAAGATTATATTAAAAAATTATTGAAATATCGAAAACACATAAAAACATGGCTTAAAAAAGTTCTAACAAATGAAAATGACAATAAAACATCCACGCATTTTATCGAAAGTTATAAAAGTTTTGTTACTTGTAATATGTTTTATCTGCCCCCTGGAATTAATGTTTAGAACCTTGTTCCCAAGGTTTGAAAAACATCCGATTGTTGTCTATTACTCGTATTTACCTGCTGGATTTTTTAATCCGGTGGGCAGTCCATCTAGAAAGGCCCTCCTGGATGAAGTTACAGAATCATCAACCCATACTTTACTTGTAGTGTGTCCTGCGTTTACCCACGTTTCATCAAGGTAATAAATCTTCCTGTTTTGATTTCTATATTTCCCAATTTTTGTTAAATAATCCCTCCTCCATAGCACAATTTCTTCTCTATCCAGTAGTAAACTATTACGAACCCATTTTTTCCATTTGAAATTTAAATGCTTCAGTAACGCATGGAAAGTTGATCGTTTGAAATTTGGCAACGTTGTATCTCCATTTACCTCCTGCAGTACTTTATCTATAGTAGGTATTTCATTCCTAAAGAAGAATTCAAGCACTTTCCTCCTAATCGCATGCTTATCAGCTTCATCCAATGATTTAACAATGCTTTTGCGATGTTTACTGGTCATTGGCTCAGAAAAGGTGTGATTTTTTTTGTATTGTCTTAACACATTAAACACTGATGCGCGACACACCCCAACTTTGTGAGAAACCTTCACAACAATTTCTTTGATGGTTGATGCCTCGTTCTCCTCGCGCTCGATCTTATATATATTCAAAATGACCTCTTTCATTTCTGCACTCAGGTGTCTTTTTTTAGAGCGTTTCCTAGGTGGACTACAGGAGTTTACAACTTCATCGGCAGTATCTGTACTACTGGGCATTTTGCGCAAGCAGTTGATAACAATAACAATCAATAACAAGGTATAACAATAACAACGACAAACTCAACAACTTAATAAGATAACAAACGAAAACGTCCAAAGAAATATCAAATTGCAATGATGCACACGACATACGTAACACGTCTGAACCTGAATGTGACTCTGCCTTGATACGACTGCTCTGCCGCTCGGCATAGGCATTTAATTGCGAATTGACCAATGAGGGCTCCTGTTTTACGTCGAGACGGCGGCGTTAGCGTGAAAATCACCCGAACCTTTTGTTTACATCCGGTCTATCTCTTATCTGAATATACTGTACGTTACATGTGAACTTGACATAGGCGAATTTCTTGACAGTTCTGTTATTTGTCATTCTGTGTTACTTTTTAAAAGTGGGAGTGCTTGCAGATAATTGTGGTGTCAGACGATTTCAGATAATGCTAGTTCTTACATAATTTGCAAAGAGCAGTACAAGTGGAGGTAGATCTTTTCAAGGGTAAGTATTATTATTACGTTGATACAACGTTGTCACCTCGGTAGATAATGGTAGTCAAATGATTCTAAAGTATGCACTAAAGCTGCGCAACTTGGGCGACAAACAATGCAATTTGAACATGCAGGGTGTTTTAGAAAGACTTGCCAAGATACAGGGTGATGATGTTTTATTTACGGGTAGAGATACTGAGTTAAAAATTTAGACGTTTAGTGAGTATATCATCAGAGTTTCTACGCTACTGATTGAGTATAAGACACGCATATTATTCAATTATTATTGTAATGAGGTGCCATAGCTTTCCTTACATGCCATAGAGAGTTTCCAAAATTAAGCTACATGGTGTATTCAGAATAAGGAAGGCTAAACGTTTTCATAAGAGTATTTTGAGACTATACCTTGAATATTCAAACCTAAATATCATAAAAGCGAGTGATCTGACATACATTCTTCAAAAGACAAAATTTATCCCTACGTCCCTGGTTTCGTCTAAAATCCTAACTCAGTATATTCACCCGCACCGTAGATATGTATTTTTTTCAATTCCGTATATCAAATAAATTCATCACCCTGCATCTCGGTAGGGGATCATTTTTGGATCTTTATTTACGGGAGCCTTTTTTGTTATTTTTGGATGTAGTTTCTACCCTAGACATATTGGCACCCTGTATCGGCTGGGCTCATAATCTATTCAAATTCGTTGCCTGAAACTTGAACTAGCGGTTAAGTTATAATCAGTCATTACTCAGCTATATATTTGACATTTACGAAACGCTATACACTTGAACAAAATTGAGAAAAACTGAAAACTTACTTCCAAAGTGGTGAGTCTTTAACTCAAACTGTAAGAAATTCACGTATGCTACCAGCCAGAAATACTTACTGGAATTGTGTAGGGAAATCCCGTGTACTTATTCAACCTTATTGAATAATCATGAATTATGCATCGAAGTGCTGAAGAATCAAAGACATATTTTGATTTTTGATAATGATACCGACTGAAGGCATTGAATACAAAAAATCGGATATATACAGAAATACCCCAAATAATCTTTTCTCTTTTTATTTTTTTTAAATAGCTTCAAGCTAAACAATACAATATATATAATGTTATTATCTAAAACTAACACTATTCTCTACATAAATTCTCAATTGTCTTTTGAATTTGACAAAATTTGTAGATTTGATTTCAGCTGGTAAATTATTAAAATCTATAAGGCCTTTATGAAATAAACTACTTTGCGCAAAAGCATACCCGACAGCAGGAACATAAAAATCAAACCTATTCCTTGTATTGTAACTATGAATAGCACAGACAAATTGCAAACCTTCCAATATGTGTTCGGGATACATTCCATTCTTTATTTTGTAGATGGCTATCATTGTATTGTAAAATATATTTTTTTTGATACTTGATAAATTAGTTACTTCTAACATGTCTTTAATTCTTGTGTATCAGTTACATCTTAATATATACTAAGTGACATATAAATCCGAACACCCAGTTTAAATGGTTTTATTTTAATAAAAGTTGGTGAATGTATTTATCTTACTGTAAATAACAAGTGAAAAAATTTTCAGCCTTATCAGTTGGACATTCCGGTTTTTATACTGCTTTTTTTTTAATTCACTAACGCTCTAAAAATGAATATTTCAGCCGCAGTAAAGAATCAACGTTGGCGGATTTTGGTTCTTGACATCCTTTACGATCGGTTACGATGCCTAGAGTACGGAGACCTGTACGATTTCGACAACCTAGTGAGTTTGATAGGGGCCGTATAGTGGGACTTCGGGAAGCTGGACTTTCTTTTCGGGCAATTGCAGTTAGAGTGCAAAGAAGTGTAGACACTGTGGTTAGGTGTTGTCAGGCATGGCTTCGAGAAGGCCGTACGCAAAGAGCAAGGGGCACTGGACGCCGCCGTATAACAACAGACCGCGAAGATCGCCGCCTAAGATTATTGGCCTTAAGCGACCGTTTCTCCACTACCAGGTTCATTGCAAATGAATGGTTTGCAGAACACGGAAGACCTATTGGCATGCGAAGTGTTTACCGACGAATGAGAAGTTTTGGATTGTTTTCATACCGGCCACACTGGGTCCTCCCTTTAACTCGAGGACACCGACGTAATCGCCTTGAGTGGTGCAGACAACGGTCACTCTGGGATCAGGAATGGAACAGTATTGTCTTTATTGACGAGTCTCGATTTTGTTTAGGCATGCACGATGGTCGTGCCAGGGTTAGAAGGCGACGTGGTGAAAGGAGGAATCCAGTTTTTTGTTGAAAGACATGTTCATCACACTGTTGGGGTGCTATAGCTTATGGTTTCAGGTCACCTTTAATCTTCATCAGAGGTAACATGAACGCGCAGCGTTATATCCACGAAGTTCTAGAACCCCATCTTTTACCCTATCTTGACACCCTGGCAGATCCAACTTTCCAACAAGATAATGCCCGACCACATGTTGCAAGAGTCACAATAGACTTCTTTCAACATAATGATGTCACATTGTTACCATGGCCACCAAGATCTCCCGACTTATCCCCAATTGAGCATGTGTGGGATATCATGGGTAGGAGATTGCTCAATTTGCAACGTCCTCCTCAGACTCTAGAAGCACTTCGAGAGGAGTTGGTGGTTGCCTGGAATGAGATACCACAGGAGGATCAGGGTGCATCCACACATTACTAAAGGTCAAAGGGCTTTAAAGCAGTGCAATCATTTTGAAATTTTTATCATTTACTTATTATGCTTCATTAAGTACTTATACAAAATTTTATTAAAATAAAACCAGTTAAACTGGGTGTTCGGATTTATATGTCACTTAGTATACATCTAAGAGCCTGATTTTGTTTTTTCTGTAGTGAATCTATATCACCTTTCTGAAACATATATAATATGGAGGAACAGTAGTTAAAGTGAGGCATGACTATTGTTTTATATATAAGTAGTGACATCCATGTACTAAGGTCCTCTGTTACCCTACACATTAAATTAACTTTTTTAGAAACTTTTTTTGTAATATAATCTGCATGGCTATTGAATGTTAAATTTGAGTCTATCATAACTCCTAAATATTTATACTTGTTAATCTGTTTAATCTTATTTTCAATTATAAATCCATCGTGTAGATAAGTATCCTGAACATTAAATTTAGATTTCAGTATCATACACTTAGTCTTGTCAACATTAATACTAAGACTATTGTTCCCTAATCAGGCATATAATGTATATTCACTGATCATTTTAACCAAATTGTCTATGTTGTCACATTCCATGAATAAAATTGTATGGTTTGCAAACGACTGAATTTTGCAATTTTTTACAGCCTTTACAATATCATTTATATACAGCACGAATAGATCAGGACCCAACACTGTTCCCTGAGGCAGACCATGTCTATTTTCTCTTACAGAAGATAAAGAGTTTTTGTACTTTGTTCGCTGAGTTCTTTGCTGCAAGTATTCTGAGAACCATCTTAAAACGTTGCCTTCAAAGCCATATTTTTCTAGTTTTTTTATCAACCAATTTTTATTTATAGTTACGAATGCTCTCCTACAGTCGATAAAAACAAAAACCCACATAATGACTCACACTCAAAACATTTTTCCATCCTGTAATAACAGACTGAAGCGCTCTCTCACATAAATGGTCCTTCCTGAAACCAGCTTGGTATTTTATAGGTAATTTATTTTCTTCTACGTATTGATGAAATTGCTGATTGACAACAGTGTCTAGAAGCTTTTCATATACAGGTACCATATTAATTGGTCTATGCTGTTCACATTTTATTGTTCCATTCAATTTTTCTATAGGGATGACAGTTAACATTTTCCAATCCTGGGGAAAACATTTTCCATACTGGAATTTATAAGCTGGAGTAATGATAAAAATTACGTGAGAAACGTGCCTTCACGTTTTCTAATCATCAAAATCAAAAATGTTGCACATTGGTCAACCAAAAAAACAACAACATTAGAACTTTCTATTGGGAATTATTTTCTTCAAAACATATAGAAAACGCTAATAGTTCGAAATGTTGAAATTGAAAATCTAGCGATTTGACATATTGACACATACTTTTTACTTGTAGGTAGTTCTGTATATATCCAATAACCTTCATTAATGTTAATTATGCGAGGATTATTTATTATTTATCTTTCATCAGGAATCCTAAGCAGAATATTTGAGCATACCCAACAGACGATCAACTCAGTTTGGGAGCCAGCTCGTGAAACATATAATGATTAGGCATGAGGTAAAAAGATGCGAATTGCGTCAGTATTCAAACAAAACGTCTTGATGGAAGGTGTTAATTTGGAAAAAGAAATTAACATTCCTATAGCAATAACGACCTTGTGGATATGACATCGGTTTACGCTTCATGCTGCCAAGATGTTGCCAATCATTTTCCGTGATGTTTCCATCCTGCGCCGCGTGTGCTTGTTTATTTCGTGCAAACATCTGGGGATAAACGTCGTTTGCTGGACATGTATTAATATTCTTTGAGCTTTGTTTTTAAACTACTTAGGCATTGGAGTGGTGAAATGCGTGAGAGATATATGAAAACGATGCAATAAGGATGTTATAAGCTTTACGAAAGCATCAAAAATAAATATTACCCTGTGAGATTTCGAAAATCAGCGAATGTTATAGAAGATGTTCATGACTTCATCTTGCATCACTCTCTCTCTAGGAAGGTATAGTTTCAGAATTAGTAAATGCACCCTACAAGGATTCATATAATGGAAGGTGTTTGTTAGTATGCGCTTTACATAATAAATTCGCATACAAAGCCGGAGAGGCATAGCTTGGTCGAGCACTCCTAATTATTAATGCCCATAAAGTCTAGTAGACCAAGATAGTGGAAATACATTGAAGAACAGAAAAAGCAGAAAATGGACCTCTTTTCACATATCCAGTTTCCAATTCTTTTCAACCTGAAGTATGCTGCTCAATAGAATTTGGGAATTACCTAGTCTTTTCGATACTAAAGGCTACTTTTGGCATGCTAATTTTTATTAATCAAGAATTACTTCAATTCTGATCTGTGTTCGGGCATTACATCTACAAGCAACTCCAGGGAGATGGAAGAAAACCCTTTTGTTAAAAAAACCAGACCGAACGAAAAAATGTTCATGTGCGGTTTCCATAACATCAACCAAGGAGTCCTGGGACCGGGTCTTAGAATAAATTCCTGAGAAAACGCCTGAGAACATCTGAATATGCCGCCACCTCTTTCCGGATGCTCCATTTTTGGAGCGGAAATCAGACTTAAGCCGGCAATGAAGAAGAGACCCATTATTTCAATGGAACTGCACCTTAAGGTTCTATTTATCTAAAAAATCTAAATAGACACAGCAGGGGCAAGCAGTAAAAAAACCTTCATTCCGATGAAGGTGCACACAAAAAAATATTTTGATTGAAACACGTCAGATCTGTTGAAACCACTGCCTTCATATGAAGACAAAACAAGTACGTAATTAAGGACCGTATCTTTTTATTTAAACTCCAACTACCACGAAGGCCTAAGGCCTAAGCCCCCATTGGGTACCCTGGGGCTGTAGGGGGATACATGGGAAAGGGGGACCTTGAAAGGGGTATCGTCAGTCGTTTCTATAATTGTAGGACCCCTTTAGGGCCTCCTTGATTTTCACAGTCTTTTCTCTCCTTCAGAAAGGCTGGGATATTTCTAAATCGCCACTGAACCGTTTCAGCGTCAGCTCTCTACAATTGTCAGGCTATGTCTGTCACGGTTCTCGAAGCTGTGTCTTATTGCAATCGTCATTAGAGAATTGTTGAACAATTCCATAAGGTCAGGCAGCAATAGGGCCAGGCATTATTTTGATGTCTGTGTCTGCCACTAAAATACATTTATTGATTTCATAGCTACGCTTGGTCTGAAGCTTCATGTGCCGCTTAGCGACAGCTGTCAGCTCACCAGTTTCAATAATGTATTTATACTATAGCTTGTGCCCAACTGGCACAAATAGCACAATCCGTCGCCAGAAGTTTGAAAATGAAAATCACAAAATCAAATGACCAAAATCATTAAAAACATAACCGTCAACTCGTCACAATCGGCGATTAAAAACGACTACGCACGAGTACGATCGTGTAGAGGGCATACTCGGCTGTACTCGACGATCATCGTCTATGATCGCCGTCGAACCGTGCATTGTCGGTTTTTCGGACACACATCAAAGGGAATCGCCGGGTAGTTGCGTCGTGGTGGCCACGCGATCGCCGATCATTCGCCGTCGTAAACAAATGGTTGCAGCAGCAACGCACTCCACGTCCATATTGACGCTTGCCGTTTGACCAACTACTACGAACGCTCGTGTGGATGCTTGCACGATGATCGTGCCTATTATGAACGATCATCGCCGATAGTGAAGTGCAAGCATGAAGAATATCAAAACTGTGAAGAAAGTCTAATAAGGACTAGAATGTGTCAGTTTTTATTCCTCCCTCATTAGACCCAGATACTAGTGATAGTGACAAACTGCGTATGCGTATATGTCAACAGTGTCAAAATACTGCCTGCTATTAATAGTGCCTGGCTATATAAGCTTTTCAATAATTCCTTATTCCGTGATTGGCCTATATTTCCAGCTGTGTTAAAAGACCACAAGTTGAGGAGTTTCTTGGATGTGGGCAATGAGCAAACTTCTGAGGAGGAAGCTCCTCCAAGGAAACGCATTGATTGGGAGCTATACAAGTTGCTCCTTAGAGAGTATCCCAATATCCCGATTATAGATGATGGGTCTGGGATAGATGCCGCTCAAGCGAAGTGGACAAGTTTCATTCAACGGCACGGTAGACCTTTTTTGCCTGCGGATATTCGTTAGAAAATCTCTGACAAAAGAGCCGCTTTAGGCACGGAAAAAGGTATTGTCATCCTGACGACATTCGTAGGGCTACAAATCGTGTCCATGAAGTGAGAAACGGACTGCATGAACTCCGCAACGAGCAATGGAGCGACTTTCTGGCGGGAATGCTAGATTCAAATATTCCTCTCTGGAGGGTCGCAAAGTCACTCAGAAATGGAAAGCGAGAACAACTCCCGCACATCTACGGTCCAGAAGGCATAGTCTTCAGAACGGAGGATGAGGTCGAGGTTTTCGCTGATGCCAAAAACAGTTCTCTCCCAACTATGATCTTGACAATGACCTCGACGAGGAACAGCACCTCGTACAATCCGTCAGGAGATATTTTAGGGCCAACGGCGTTAGCAGAGGCACTGAATCCTCTTCAGATGACTTTTCTTCAGAAGATTCGTCTGAGGCTCCACATAGCATATTAGCGGAATCCTCCGAGTTTCCACATTGCACACCAGCGGAGCTTCTAAGTCATATTAGAGACCTCAAGGTGCGTAAAGCACATGGAGAGGATCAAATCACCAACAAGGTGTCGAAGCTACTCTCGCCAAAAGCTCTCACCATGTGATTCCTGACGTTCAATTCGGTTTTCGGTGCGACCATAGCACCGAGCTACAGGCAGTCAGGCTGGTGGAACATGTAACCAGAGGGTTCACCCTCAGCATGAGTACTGGCATCTTGCTTTTTGATGTCTCAAAAGCCTTTGACAAGGTGTGACACGCGGGCCTCCCTTATAAACTAATCCATAAGGGTTTTCCTTTTTGGCTTCTAAAATTACTGAAATCCTTTCTTAAAGGAAAGAAGTTTCGGATCAAAATTAACAATGTTTTGTCAACAACATGGCCAGTACGGGCCGGTGTTCCTCAGGGTTCGGTCCTAGGACCAATCCTTCACTCGCTTTTTATCCATGATGTCCCTTGCCCCAGCAACTGTGAAGTCTACCTCTATGCTGACGACACTGCACCTGTCGCCCAGTCATGTGCTGGTGATCTGGGTTCACGATGGGTTGCAGGGTGCGGTGGAAGAAGTACTGAAGTGGGCGGAACGGTGGCTGATTAAAATTAATCATTCGAAAACGCAGGTTATTTATTGTACCAAAAACCGTCGCGGCCCCTCAGCTGAGGTCTCTGTAGACGACAATCGTGTACCATGGACAAATACTGCCAAGTACCTCGGTGTCACCCTTGATAAAGGCATGACCTGGCAGAAACGTACAACAGCCTTGAAAAGAAGATTCCAAATTGCGTTTCGGCAATTATATCCTTTGTTATGTAGATCCTCCAAATTGAGTTTGATAAACAAAGTTCGCCTACATAAAATGATTATTAGACCAACCATAAATTATACATGTGCACAGCAACCCTCTGTTGCGCGACTCAGTGGACTACACAGTGGAGCAAGTTCGTAAACATCCAAGGCCACGGCTCGCACTGTAATCAAAAATTAACGCGAACTTTTAGTTAGTTAAAATTACACTCTAACAAAACCGAATCAAAATTTGTTTAGCCTAGGTGTCTCCTCTCAAACTAAACACTTCTGTTTCTCTTTGCTCTTCGCCATTTTTCTTCTCTTTCCCTTTCTATTTTTTCTTGATATTGTCTGGTTTCTGGACAACCAGTACTGACAGATTCGACTAACGTACATTAGACAGTGACTAATGGGCAAAGGTCCTACGGACCGCCCAGACAAACAAATGACGAATAGTAAGTTGAGGAGTTCAAATTAATGATACTTATCTACTGAGCCATGAGCTGTTGTATCCCTCAAAATTGCACATTGAGCTTTAAAAGCCCTATACATTTTTTGCTTGTTTTGATGTGATGTGACTTCCCATAACAGTTTATTTTGGGCGCGGTTGTAGCAGTTTTGTCCACTGTTTTGTTTTAATTTGTCGACTTACGCACGCTGCGCTGCTGCCGACACAAACTTAACTGGTTAGGGGAAAAACAAATCTGCAGCAAAACAGGCATACCGCTCCTGCTTTCGGCCCGTTTGATCTGTTTTCGCAATTAGGTTGTTACCACAGCTTAATCAGTTTTTCGGACCTAAAACGTACTCGCACCAATTTTTCAACCCCCGATCTCAAAGGAGAGGCTTTATAAGTCTAGTGAGTGTATCTTGGTG